TGCTCATTGTCAAAGGTAATTCCATGACATTCCTACACACACACACACACACACACACACACACACACACACATTTCTCTTGCCTACCAGAATCCTAAACCCCTTTCCCAAACAAATAATTTCCCCACTTCATATCCAGGAAGACTCAAGAATCCCAAGTCCTACAGGGCACACCTGCAAGAGCTGTTCAATCACATTTCTGCCAGGTCTATTCAGGCAAGTTCTACTTGAATCAATTTCAGTCCTGAAAAGGCTAAATATTCTAGTCCAAAAATTATCTGAATGATGTGGCCTGATTTGAAATGCACCAGAATGTGAACAACAACAACAACAACAACCTGCTAGATCAGGCCAGTGACTCATCCAGTCCCGTATCCTGTTCTCATAGTGGCCAACCTGTAAGCAGGACCTGAGCAAAACAGCACTCTTGCCTCCTGTACTTTCCAGCAGCTGCCAAGATAATGCTGGGATACTGGCCTAGCAGGGGCAATGCTGTGTAATTAGGTGTTTGGAGGCTATCAGAGAAGGCAGGTGGACAAAAGAGATAGCACTGGGAGGCTGAAGATGAAGAGTGGCACAGTGAACACTGAACCCAGCTGGGTAGAATAGACCAAATTTCAGTCTGAATTCATAGCAGGGGTCACTGACAGTCTTTTTCCTTCTCATGGAATGAATTTCATAATATTCTCAGAATGGGGCTGTTTCTCAATGCAGCATTATGCCAAGACTTCTGGGAGGAAATGGTAATCTCTGCTGAAATCTAGTTCCTGAATGAGGTGTCAGTGAAGTTCAGCCTTAAGCAAGATATATATACTTATTAGTTATACTGCCTAATGGTCCATATAGCTCCAAATTATGTTCTGTTACTGGCCAAGACTCTCCAAGGTCTCAACCAGTCATTTCCCATGCTTACTATCTGACATCCCTCTAACTAGAGAAGCCAGGGATTGAAAGTGGGACTATCTGCATGCAAAGCAGGAGCTCTGATGCCATCGAGTTATATCCCGAGACCCCAGCTGAAACATTAGATTCAGACATGGTTCACATGTGTACATCACTTGGTGATGGCTAAATTAAGGGGTGACATGGATGGAATGACTACCACAGAGGGTGCCCACACATCCCACCTCTGTGTTGGGCGAAAGTGACAGCCTGAAATTCTTCTAATTCAGTCTCTGCTTTACATTTCCCACTTTGCATTCCCATGTATGAAGCTGGGACCTTTGCTCAAACAGCCTATGCAGTAATAAACTGATCCTGGACTATACCAATGTTCCAATGTAGGACATCAGTGGACTAAATGTGTACTTCTATGAAAAATTAGCTTAAAATACCCAGCATGTTGGAAGGAAAACTAGGCTAGAGCTCCTTTCCTAACAAGGAGGGCTTAAGAAAACCACAACCCTGGGAGAGTCATGAAATTCCCCTACTGACAATACGAAGTGGTACAATTCATAAACAGCTTCTCGACCTCAACAGATGTTTGTGCAAACCAGGCTTGAGTTGACATTATATTAATGGTGAGAAGCTGTGTTCACCTAATATCTGCTGCTGATATTATTAATCTTTTTTGGCCCTTTTTCAGATGCAACTATGAATATTGCTTGTATAGGAAGCACGACCTTCAGTCTAAATTTGTCTACTTCATTTTATTTTCTTGAGAGGCATTTATATACGGCTTATTTCTAAGCTAAATAAGTTTTGCCTGCCCTCAGTGACATCACTGCGCAGCTAAATCTGATTGGCTGCAGAGCATCATGGCATTCCACTACAGGATCCCTGACTGGCTAGCACCACACCATGTAAAATAAAGAAGTTTTAGTAGGGTAAAATGACACTGAAGCAGTGGCAATTGGGGAAACAGTGTCAGGAAACAGGCTGGGGGAGCGAGGGGAGAGATAATCACCTCCCCATCATGCTCAATAATTAAGGGGATTCTCCATCAAATACATACACCTCCTAAACGTTTTCTTTCTACCTTGAAATCAAAATGGCTGTAGAGTTTGCACAGCTCTAGTTAAAAGTGGATTGGTGGCACATTTATAGAAACAGCAGCAGGATGAGCTGCAGGAATATGCCTGCCTGTGCCTTCCCTGGCCCCTCTGATCATATTAGCTTGCTGAATATTTCATCAAGAGTCACTAAGGATGCACTTGCTTTTTCTTCCGCTTCTGGAGAAAGCCTGGCTCTCCTGTGAAGCTTTCAAGATTTATGCAACGCGCTCTCTCTCTCTCTCTCTCCTCCAGCTGTCAGATTGCTGTGACAGTCTGGGCTGGCATGGGGTTGTTGCCAGCTTCTTCTGCAGCAGAATGCTGATGCCGCTGCCGCATCGCTCTCCCACCCAGGCCACCCGGGGCTTGTTTACACAATCAAAGTTATTCTGAGCTGAAAACACCTTCAAAGTTGCTGCAATATCTGATTTGTTTTTCTTTGCATGATCAAGTGGGCTAAACACAGGCTTAAGCTTCTTTACGGGATCAGTTTCGCTGGAATAGAGAAGGCTCCAGGATTCATCTCGGGCTCTGCTCACACGTTTGCAGACACATTGGGCAGAAGCAGAGGCTAGGGCTGCTATTGAAAGCTGGCCAAGAACTGGCTTGGTCTTCCCACATATCTGGCCTAGACAGGAGGCAGGTCAGTGCTAGAGAACAGATTAAATTCACAGCGGCAGACAAGGAGTTGGGAAGCAGAACAGAGATTCTTGACTTGCCTCCTTTTCACACTGGGATAAACACTCCCATGAAGACTGGGAGAGAGGAGCCTTTTTTTAAGCCTGGGACTTGCCTCCCCTTCTGGGCTTACCTTCCCAGGGCACCATGCTAGTGGTGGGTGGGGCCTGAAGCAAAAGTGGGTGGAGCAACAACATCTCCCCGCTTTGTACAGTAGGCTAGCAGACCCTGTTTTCCAGAGACAGTCCCAAAGTTACAGAAGCCATCCGGGATTCTGATTAGATCCCAGAATGGCCTGCTTTTCCTTTAAGACATCCCTATTTTCGTTGGAGAAGTGTTGAAGCATATAGAGCTATGCAACCCCTGAGCCAAGGAGATAAGTAACTATACAACCTTTAGAAGACATTTGAAGGCAGCCCTGTACAGGGAAGTTTTTTATGTTTAATGTTTTATTGTTTTTATATATGTTGGAAACTGTACAGAGTGGCTGGAGAACCCAGTCAGATGGGTGGGGTATACAGAATACAATTATCATCATCATCTCCATCACCATCGTTGAATAAAGGGAAAGGTAAAGGGACCCCTAACCCTTAGGTCCAGTCGTGGCCGACTCTGGGGTTGCGGCGCTCATCTCACTTTATTGGCTGAGGGAGCCGGCGTATAGCTTCCGGGTCATGTGGCCAGCATGACTAAGCCGCTTCTGGAGAACCAGAGCAGCACACAGAAATGCCGTTTACCTTCCCGCCGGAGTGGTACCTATTTATCTACTTGCACTTTGACATGCTTTCGAACTGCTAGGTTGGCAGGAGCAGGGACCGAGCAACGGGAGCTCACCCCGTCACAGGGATCTGAACCGCCAACCTTCTGATCGACAAGTCCTAGGCTCTGTGGTTTAACCCACAGCACCACCCGCATCTCTCATCATTGAATAGGACGTCCCTATTTTCATTGGATAAATGTTTCTAAACACACTTCTCTCCATCCTCCAGCAAGAAGCCTTATCAGAGTAGAAGGACACATTTTAGCCAGGCAAAAACATTGGAATCTGAAACAGTGTTGTGAGTGGTGTGGCCTGGGGATAGTTTCAAGGGCCAGAGAGAGGCTTGGAGGCCTGTATTCAGTCTCAGGGTCTGAGGTTCCCCACCCCTGATATTAAGACTAGTAGAGCTGTGGCCTCCAGTGGTGTCCATAGTTGCCCAGAGTGTCTCTGGATGGCCCAGGAGACTCAACAAGTTGTGACAGCCCCCCTTGTGGGTGAATTTATAAAGTGTATAAATTTTAGTTCCTGAAATTTATATACTGCTTAAAAATACCTCAAAGTAGTTTACAAAATAATAACCCTGAAGTAACAACTCCTGCCATTTAGCTGGTGCTATTGTAGAGTTTTTGTACTGGGGAGATTCAGGAATTACTCCTAGTTTTGGAAATAATGACATGCTTCTGATCCAAGTCAAAATTATTTTGAATTTTCACCTGGCTCATCAATAAACGGGAAGCAGTTCCCAGCTGCCCCTGGCCATTTCCATCTTCCCAAAACTTACATTTCAACTGCAGCAAACTGGTGTAGGTTACTCTCTTGTCCTTGTTTTCACTAGTTAGTAACTTAATTTCATATTAGACATAACCAGTAGTAACTTAAAATAATTGCGAAAAGGAAGACTGACACACATGCACCCCAATGAGATAATGTAATCAACAGGCTAACTCTGTTTATTACATTAAATTATCAAAATGTCCAGAGGTACTAAATCACATGGCCTACATCTGTTCCAAAACTGTATCAGTAAAATCCAGTATTTCTTATAAAGCCTGTTTAATTATTTCTTCCTCCCCACAAGTATTTGTAGGTTGTGATCTTATTCATCAACACAGAGCCTCACATACCCTTGACAAGCGGTTCTTTCTTTCTTTCTTTCTTTCTTTCTTTCTTTCTTTCTTTCTTTCTTTCTTTCATTTATTTCCTGCCCTTCCTCCCAGAGGAGCCCAGGGAGTCGACGAAATAGATGATTTCCAAACGTTTGGCCAGTGCCACACATGCTGTGATTCAAACATACATATAACCAACACTGTATATTCCTCCTTGTCTTGTATTTCTATTGTTCTCAGTCACAATGTTTGAGGATTTAATTGGATCTCATATGCTCATCTGTTCTCTGTTATGCTTGAAAGCCTTACCAGCAGGACATGTTTAGTGCAAAAGGACTCAGAAGCTTTAGCAAACTACAATTCCCAGAAGTCCTTGATCTATGAACTTGGCAAGGCTTTGGGAACCAATGAAGGCCCATGGAACAGCCATTTTCCCTCCCCATTCATTGCTGCTGCTGAAGGGAAGGAACGATAGCTCAGCAGGTAGAGCACGAGACTCTTAATCTCTGGGTTGTGAGTTTGAGCCCCACATTGGGCAAAAGATTCTTGCATTGCAGGCGATTGGACAAGATGGCCCTCATTGACGCTTCCAACTCTACAACTCCTGAGAATGGTGGAACTACCCTCTGTTGGTCTAAACACTCAAGAGAGTTTGAGGGAGAAGGTTGTTTCTCAGATATTTGGGGCCTAAGTCTTTTTACACACTAGCATTGACACTCTGAATTGACCCCAGAAACTAACACCTTTCATTTCAGTGCAAAGGTGACACAATGCAAATGGCGGGCAAAGTCATCAAGTATATATCATTTATGGACTGAAAACAATGGCAAACAGAGATTGTATTTGCTGGCTTGATTTCCATTCTGGACATGGGGGGAATAAGCGAGCAGCAGCAATTTCCGCTCCAGTTTTCATCAGAATTCTCTGATATCCCAGGTGACACATGAATAACTATGTGACTGAACAGCTCAACGTTTTCCGTTTACAGGTAAACAGACTGTACACTTGTTGAATGCAATGTGTGAACACCCTTGCTCTTGCAGGGCAAGCAGGTAATGGGGCCACAGCCATAACCCAGGAATAAAGCCATGGATCTTGGTTGGCGTGGTGACTGTTGTCTGCTCCTTAATCTAGTTGCTTCTTTAATGAACGTGCAGCTCTGTTTTCAGGCACTGAGTTATCGCACCTATCTCACTAGCATAGAATGAGGCAAGCAGAAGGCTTATCGCTTCATTTTGCGAATGTCCCTCACTTCTAATTTACATGCCAGGCAGTGTGACAAACTCAATTTGTAGAACACGGTAAACAAAAGCTCTCTAACTCTGGCTCAATGTAATGGAATAATGTTGTTGGAAACACCCGTTAAGTGGAACAGGAGTACAGGCAGGGCTGGGTGGGGGGCAGGGATAGGAGCATGTCCACTTAATGCTGATCGCATTCATCTAAGCCATAGAAACAGTGCGTGGTGTCAAGAAATCACAGCCATTAATGACTGACACTCAGTGTAATTGTTCCAAATTATCTCTACGGATGATTCCGAAGTCATTCTCACTCACTCAGATTTATTTATTCTGAACATGTATATGCTGACTTCCATCAGAAAATATCACAAAGTGGTTTACAAAGGAAACTGAACATTAAAAGCTGGCAAAACATCAAAATCTGTAACACAGAATTTCACGCGATCCATACCCACACAAATTCCACACACCCTAACACACACCTGTCTCTAAATCAGCCTGCACCTGCATACATTCAATCACACATTTTCACACCCAAAACCACACTGGCACCACAGTTTTTCATGCATCATGATTTTTGCATAGCATGCAAATATCTTGACTCACAATTATCTTGCCAGGTCAAAAATTATGAAACCAATATCACGATATGGAGTTCAAACTGGTTTTGGGCAATATATTGATATATCGCTCAGCCCTACAAATGAGGTAGTCCAAATAAGCTGCATTAACCAAACAATGAAGAATAAACCTTTGGATTTTCCAAATCCACACCCTCCTCTGAAATATATAAGAAATTCCAGACCCAAGTGCCTTGCTTCCACTACTGGGGAGCAGAAGTAAACAGGTTGGCACATTTGCCCTGCTCTGCATTCCTCCTTTCCCCTGAAATGCAGGTTCTCCTCTTGCTTCATGTCCATCCAAGGCCCATTGCCTTTGCTTCCATCCCCTCCCCTCCCCAACTCACTACCATATGTCAGGGAGATGGAGAAACACTTGCCTTTTCTTCCCGTTTGAATCACAAAACCCACAGAGAGAAAGTCTAAAATTAGAGCATGCCAAACACAGTGGCATCAGAGTAAATTAATTTAATGTCACTCCAGCAGAGTTTTCCTCTGGGGAGAATGCAGATATTCCTGGGAAGAGGCTGATAATAATAATAAAAAATACCTCCAGGTGGAAGCTAAAATAAATAAACAATTAAAATGGCATCGATGCTTTCTGTTCTTGGTTGCAATCCCTGGAGTCAGTTTCACATGATTTGTATGTCTTTTGGCAGGGAAGTAAGGGGGGTGACTGTCATTTTGGAGTCAGCGGGTGCTTTTCAGGGACCAGGAGTCAGATTCCTCTTTGGGTTGATGGTGTCAAGGACCCAGAATCAGAAGGGGAAGGGTATACAGGCCCAGCCCCAGAGATGTTGCTGCCCAATGAGACTGTGGGGCCAGGGTCACTCTAGCCAGAAGATGTGGCACAGCCATTGTCAAAGGGCTCCATTGAAGAAGACCCAGTAAAACCAGAACATCTCTCACTCCGCAGTAGGAGGCTACTGGAGAGGGCTGGGCTCCTTTAAGAAAAGCAATGCCTTCTAGTATGGGCGGGGCTAACTGGTGGGATGCTGCCACCACTATACAGTGTGAGCTTTGCCTTCTCTACCTTCTCTTGCCTCAGTTTACCCTGTATCTGGCCTGAGTTCTGCCTTGCCTAGGGTCACTTTGCCACACAGCAGGGCAACACTGGCCATACCTGGCTGTCTCAACCTAGGGGTACTTGCAGATTTCAACCTGCATGGGCTAACCTGATCTTTATCTCCTGGGCTAATGTGCAGACCAGAACAGGGGATTTCAAACTTCCTAATTGTTCCTACACAGTTTTTAACTAAAAAAAAAAAAAAGTATCTAATGCAGTAAAATATGTTTGGTGTGGGGGGGGGGGGAAATACATTTAGAAATGTGTATTTTGAGAAAAATACATTTTAAAAATATATGTTTAAAATGTGAATTTTCATGCAGATCTTTTTAAAAAGAAAGATTAATGGGGAAGCAAGACAGAACAGGCTTTGGAATGGATTGAAAACAGTATGACATGTCCATCTCTACTTGGATGATGCTTAGCCAGTAGTGAAAAGTCTTCGCATATGGCCCCCTTGCCAGCTAGTTTCCAGGAACAATTTAAGTTGCTGGGAAGAGCTTGGCTGCTGGATCAGGCCAAAGGCCCACTCACTCCAGCATCCTGTTCTCAGAAAGGCCAATCAGATGCCCTAACGAGAAGCCCACAAACAGGAGATGAGTACCATCTCCCACTTGTGATTCCCAGCAACGGATACTTAAAGGTTGTGAATCAGTGATACTCCAAATTCACATTTACACATGGATTTCCCTGTGCTCCAGCACCCCAGAATGAAACCATTCATGTCTTACATGCTCTGTCAATTTCCATGGTGAATTACTGAGTGCTTTCTGGCACTGCAAAAATGTGACGTGATAATGCACAGTGCATGATTCTGAGCTTACTGCTTCCAAATGACATATATATATATTACTATTAGCTAATATGAAAACAAATCACCTGTACTTGGCCAGCTCTTTGGTTATGCAAAGGCCCAGTCTCCAAACAAAAGGAAATGTGCCAGGCTATCTATTTAACAAAATTAATTGGATGTTGGACATGATTCCTTATGTAGGGAAGATAGAAAGATGGTGTGTGTGTGTAGAAATCTCTTTCTTCCTGGTCGTAATACAGCCTACTGTGCAAAGATAATTGTCACAGATGTAGCTCCACCCTCTTTGCCATTGACAATGCTATTTTTTGTCTCTGGCCCTGCCTTCCACTGGCATATGGCACACAGAATGGTGTTCTCAAGGGGCACCACTCTGCTTTGTTTTTCAAAGCTGAGTGAATGAATGAAATACATTTCAGGCCTAATTTGGTCCTACGGAATGCCAGAAAGTTGTAGCCACAAGGACAACCTTATGTACACCACAAACCTAATGCACCTTTAATGGGCTAACCAGGAAAACAAACAGCCATCGGTCACCTGGTTTAAAAGGTGGCAGATGAGGTCAAGGAAGCAGTTTCTTTAAACTCATAGAAAGTCAAGATTTTTTTCAAGGCCATTTTATTCATTAGTGCTTTTCTGTGGCTTTGTAAAATTGAGCACTGGCTATGGTGGGAAGGCAGGGAGATCAGGCTGGGGCAACACAAAGCCAGCTGTGCAGAAGAAAGGCAGGCCACAGGAGACACGCAATTAAAGCCTCTTTGAAGAACTGTCCAATTGATTTTTTTAAAGTTACAATTGAGCTGCTACGTCAGGGAAAGTGGACTCAGCGTCCCTCCAGTCTGGAAAGCTACTGGGCTTTGTTGGGGCTTGTTTTCCTCTCCCCAGAGGCTGGAAAAAAAGGGCAAAGAAACAGAGGAATACAAAAGCAGCTGGCCTGGGACAGGGTGGAGACACTGACTTAGTGTTGTTTAACACAACGTGGTTTCCAGACCCGGACATCCTGTTGGATGTGATTTACTCTGTTCAATGGATCCTACAGGCAATTTGCTCCGCAGCAATCACAAAACAGAGTCAGGCCTGAATCCTAAATTTGGACGCAACAGAAAGATTCATTCAGTCATATCCCCCACCCACGTTCTTTCTCCCCCTCCACAAAGAAATATCTGCCCTACTCCCAAAGATGGGGGAAGAATTTCAGTTAGATTTGCATTTCAGTGTGAACCTACCTCATTCACACTTCCCAAATGCAGCTACCCTCCGAAATTCATGCTTCTCTAGATCTTGTGATGCAATTTTCCAACCAAATAATGCATAGGCAACTCGCATCATATGTGAGGGTTCAGTTCCAAGGGCTACACATATACATGAAAATCACATACAACCAAAATTACCTTTGGAGTCACCCGATGGCTAACCAAACCACCTATAAGGATGAGAGGTGGGAAGTTGTCTGGAGAAGCCCTTAAGCAAAAAAGCTGAAGATGCAATAAGCACTAGCTTTTGCCATCAGTGCATGGTGCCCCCTGCACAACAGGCTGAGATGAGATAGGCTTGCCGGAATCACCTGCATGTGAAGGATTTGGCTTTAAGGAACACAGGCTGTTTCCATTCTGAAACATTTAGCTGTAATGTCTCATTTTCTATGTCCTAAGCAAGGAGGGCTGTCTCATTATTCTCTGAAGAGGAAAGTGTTGTTCTTCGCAACTGCAGCAAACACAAAAGAGCACTTGACATCTATAAAATATGTTTAGTGTACAGACTTCTGTGACAGTTCTGGAGGATGGGGAGCAGACACAAAAGGAGGCAACT